TTCCCAAACTTGGGACGCCGCTTGTGTAGGGAAAGCCCCTGGCGGGCCAGGCCGGTTTGTTTACCTGCCCCGTCCACAGGTCCGGTCGATCGCGGCTCCCACTGGCCGCGGTTCGCCGCTCCAGGCCAATGGGAGCCACGATCGGCGGAACCTGCGGACGGGGCCGGTAAACAAACCGGCCCAGCCCGCCAGGGGCTTTCCCTACACAAGCGGCGTCCCAAGTTTGGGAAACACTGCACTAGACAGTAAATCAGCCTTGTGGAGGCTCATTAAAATCTGGGGAAAAAACACCTTCTACCTAGAACTGGTTGAATTTAAAAAAGAATTCTCCAAAAAAATTGAAATTTCAGATTTTTCCCATTTTACAAGGTTCCAGCGAGGTTCCCCCCCCCCTTTATAAAAATATTCACAACTTTTAATCAATATTTTTCACTAAAATTACAAAAAAATTACACTTCAAAAAAGTCAAGTTTTCCACAACGTTTTGTTTAAATAAATAAGACCCCACATTCTTCAGTGAAAAATCTTCTTGTTCAAAAAATTTCAACCAGTTCTACTAGTGCAATGATAAAGGAGGCAATGCGGTGTAGCGAATAGAGCAACTGATGGTGATTTGAGAAACCAGGATTCTATTCCCAGTTCTGTCACTGACCTGCTCAGTGACCGTGGGCCTATCGCGTCCCCTCTCTGTGCCTCAGTTTCCCATCTGTAAAATGGTAGTAACCTTCTTTGTAATGTGCTTTGAGATCTACACATGAAAAGTGCTATGTCATAGCTGGGTATTATACACTATAATTATAATATCTCTTTAGTACAAATGGCGGACATCTGTAAGGGAACTACCATATCAGTTCCAGATCTACTATTGTGGGGGGTAATAGGATGGAGTAGGACTTTGTGTCCAGCTCCTGCTCATTGACTTGGAGACTAAAGATTTTTGTTACGAAGAAGAAAATTAAATTTTAAAAAATAAAATGGTACCATTAGAAAAATATATTTACATCAATAAAAAACTAACATGTCAGGGTATAAGGAACAAATGGAAAATATCCCTGTATCTCCCTGATGTGCAGGGACAGGGCAGCTGCTGCTATAGCCTTGTGGGAACACACCAGGGTTTGCCAACTTTGCTGGCTGGTGCAGAGATGGGGGCAAGGCCATTAACTCTGCCACATCCATGCTGGAGTGACTAGAACTTGCCAAGAGCGTGACTGCAGCTGACACCACCGCACATGCTTCCCGTGCCCTGTTCCCCAGAGCACCCGTGCAGGGGCACGCCATGCTCCTGGCCACCTAGAAGACAAATGCAAAAGGCCAGGTCTGCCCTAAAACAAGCTTCTGCAGACCCTGAAGCCAACAGAAATGGCTCCAGGAACTTCTCCAAAGTTTCTAGTGGAAACAGTGGGTTTTTTTTTTTTTACAAACAAATCAATGTTCCTTTGAGGTATCTGCAGACTGGGCTAATGCACAGGGACCTGGCAGGGGAAAAGACTCCAAACTAAAGTGAAAAATTCACTTATATTCAATAGCTAAATGTAAACAAAGTAAATCAGAATCAGTAGGGAAAAACAAACTCAATTTTTACCTTTCCTTCCTCTAGACACTTCCTACTGGCTGTGTTAACCCTTTAAGTGCACCTCTCTTTCTGGAGAGAAATTAGTGGTACTGAAATTAGCCCCCAGTGGCCAGATCTTCACAAGAACTCAGGAGCTCCCATTGAGAACAATGGAGAATCCCCTACCCACATCCCCAGCTGAAAACAATGGGAGTCCTGAATGCAGAGCAGTTTGGAAATCTCACTGCCTTTATTTGGTGTTTAAATGAGAGCTGAGCTCTTCACACAACTGGGGTCAGATCTTTATGCCAACAGAGTCTCACTGACTTTAATGGGATGCTATGCTGGCCTAAGCGTCTGCATTGGCAAATCTACTTGCAGGATTGCAACCAAAACACTAACATCCATATATTTAAGCAACTAAATAATGGCTTGATTCTCAGAGATTCTAAGCAATTGCTTCTCTGACTGAAGCCAGCTGGAGCTGCGGATGATCAGCACCTCTGAAAATAAGACTACTTAAATATGATTTAGGTGCCTAATTTCAGGCACTCACTTATGTTTGAAAATTTTAGCTTTGGTAATTTACAGAAATCACACCACAATTTAAAATCTTCCAGGAACAAACTAGATCTAAATCAAATAGCAGCATGCAGGGTCTCATGGATTATTTAATGAGTCTAAATTTAATTATATTGAAGGTGATTTACAGAGAAATGCTTAAAAAGCCAATGACAGAGAAAAGGTGGATGAGATAATATCTTTTATGGGCCCAACTTCTGCTGGTGGAAGGGACCAGCTTTCGAGCCACACGGAGTTTTCCCTCAGGTCTGGAAGAGGCCAATAAACTGATGCTGAAATAAACAGCACCCTAATAAGTGTTAATAAGAGCAAGTCACCAGGAGATGGCACGCTCACCAATGAATCTAGTCTTCACTTTAAGCAACAGTTGAGATCCATGCTGTGTGAGACTCCAGATTACTCCCCTTCCTCAAGGCAA